GTTTAGGGTTTAGGGTTTAATACTGGAGGGCGTCAACTGAAGCATCCGCATGGGACCATCTCCTACATGATGCTATACTATACGCAACACTTTTGTGGGGTTCTCCCCGCCGGGGTGCCATGTATCATACTACTGGACTCTCCGTAACCCTGAACGATAAACCCGACACCCTAAATCATACCTGCCCGAGGGGCCATGTATCCGATGAAGATCACAAGGCAAGGCATGTCTGTACACGTCCGCTGTGCCATCCCGGAGCCATCGAAGGGATGGTCCTTGCGGTTTTGCGATGAAATGAACTTCCTCACCTAGGAGTCCCTAAAATAGGGCTCTTTTTTTAGGATTCGGTAAAGGGTTCCTTTGAGGGCTCTATAAATCTTCCTACAAGGGTTTCATATAGGGGCCTTAAACCTTAGAATAGAGTTTGGGGATATATTGGGGTACACTTTTCGTAAGGAAGCCTACGGAATAGCCTTCGGGCCCTGTTTGGTCAACCAAGCCAGGGAAAAGCGCGGGTTCCGAGACTCTGCGGAAGTTCAGGCTACTGGGCTAATATAATAAGAAGCTGATCAAGAAACCTTGGGCCTTTATTCGGGGTCGTAACATTTCGAGGTTATAGAACTCAGAACCAGGGTTTCTTAATCGGGTTCCTACATTACTGGCAATTACTGGGCTAGAGTCCGCGGCTCTGCACAAACCTAAACCTCCTGATCTTGAGCATCTTTCATCTCCCATGGATGGTCCTACAATTTTAACAGCACGATCCATCATGAGCACGGCCCGATACTGGGGCGCCTTCATAATTACAGGCACGGCTTTGAGGCAGAGTCTACGACGATGAGTTGTAGTAATGTCTTAAGAAGGAGCGCCAGCGGAATACCACCTTAGGGCCCCATACTATAAACCCTATCCCCGAACCCTCAACCCCTAGCCCTAAACCNNTTAAGGTAAACCCTTAAACCCTAAACCCATAAACCGTAAACCCTTAAACTAGAACCTAAAACCCAAAAAACCCTAATATCATATACACCCCCCCCCATTAAATAAGGAGGCCTTCAGCCCCTTTTCGAAGGTCCTCATCGAAATGTCTGGCTTCGAAGTTTTCCTTGCCAGCTGCCATCGCGTAAAGCCCCGAGATCCTCTTGAGATCCCAACACTGCGGCATGGCATTGGCTTTAGGGCTTAGGGTTTAGG